GCACAATGTCTTTTAAGCTGTACAACAATCACTGATGAAATGGTACAAAAGCAACGCACTGCTAACAAAATATATAACTGAAAGATTACCGGTAGTTCCGCGTCCGAATGTAGTCCGAGCATAGATAGTCCGAGGCAGTCCCGCAGGTCTCTCCCTAGATATATTCACCCGGGCTTGATTTCTTCTTTGATCATTTTTTTGCTTTAGTCTCTCTTCTCTTCCTCACTGTTGTGTCGTTTGGGCTGTTTTGCTGTATCTGCAGTTACAACCAGAGGAGTTATAGCCAATTCTGCTAACATGCTACTGTGTTTAGCAGCGCTGTAGAGGCTAGAGGACGCAGCCTGTTCTGTGATTGGAGGAGAGCGGGCCTCACGTTAAGTCTCTACTCAGCACTTTTTACGGCCTGAATTCATACACAGTTGAATCAATGAGCTCAAGTTTTACATTAAATTACGGATTATAATACAACTTGTATGTAGTAATAAGCATTTTTATGAAGTCATAAAAAAAAAACTGTAAGCTTCAGATGTTCACGCTACAACAGGGAGGTTGTACTTTGGGGCTGAATTCATGAGGTCATTGTTGAATTATTGATTAGGGAAAAAGTGTGAGGGAGGTACATTGGCCTGGTCGTCTACAGAACGCCCCTCACTCCCTCCTCATCTTTGGTGAGATTTTGAGTTTGCTGGAGCCAAATAGAAATTGACCTTTGGCAGCCAGACCTACATTAAATACAGAGAGTCACTGTCGGAGAAACGTGCTGGCAGCTTCAGCAAAAACGCACTGGCTGGAGATTCATAGCACTGGTCTGCTGTACCAAGAATTTGTTCAAACTTTGGCAAATTACTGAAGAACGCCCAGTCTTGGCTAACTTGTGAATGCACTAAGATTTATCCATTTTTAAACAATCACTATTTAGTATATGCCATTTTGACAACAAAGGACAGAATCTATAATTGACTGGTGTGGTTTAACTCTTTTACTGTAGCAAACGACCTGTAGCAAATCATTCTGTAAGGTTTACATTACTGCAAATGATGTAAATGTTGACATTTTAGGATTCAATGTTGAATATTGTTATTATAATTTTTTTAATGGTAAAATCAATAGGGACACTATATGTGAACAGGGGAGAGCGCAGGAGTCAGATAGGGGAGCCCCTGACTTTACAGCACTCAGGAAAGTGCACGAGGGAGGTTGGGAGTCTCGGGAAAGCAGAAATGGGAGGGATCTATGTAGGGTGGCAAGGGCTTTTATAGCTGCTTGCGATTTAAATTGGATTTATATTTGCCATCAATGTGGACATCCACCTTTCATTTATGAAGTTAAGGACTGCCTGTTAACCACTCTGCCACTCATATCCCCCCATCTATGCATTTATTTCTTCTGGGTGCTCCGGTTTCCCGTTCCACTAAAGCCGAACAATAGATTTATGGAATCAATTGCTTAGACATCACGATACCGATGCTTTAATATCGTTTCCACACATCTTTGCAAACTTATCTCAAACTAAAAATATATTCACAAAGTAGTTTCCAATGCAATCCCTGTGCATTCCTCCGGATCCATCCATCTTCATTACACTACAATTATCGTCAGTAGTTGTAATTACCCTGCCTCTCAGTCTACTTCAGGAAAATCTTGGCACATTGACCATGTTTTGGCCCGGGTCATAATTCAGGCTGTCCCATGCACGGCCGGTCCGTCCAGGGCAGAGTGTAGAGGTTAAAGGACGTCAAGTCAGGCAGGTCACGGCACCGGTGAGAAGTGAACCAACAGTCAACTCCCAGATTCCCAACATGGAGTCACACTCGGCCCAAATGCGCAATGAGATCTGGGAAAATGCGCAAAACTATTAATCATGAGCAATGAGGTGGAACTCGCCTGCTCCAGACATCTATTATGGATGTGTGTGAACGCAGGAGAGCAGAAATGTGTAGGATGTGGGAGCAGTTTAGGTTTTTACTTGTAGGTGTCATAATTGCACAGACTATGATAAATACCTTCTCAGTAATATTGTTTAAATATTCATGATTACTATACTTTACTCTTAGAATTTTTTATATTTTTTATGCAGTCCACTAATAGCCTAGTTTGGGCGGCATGGTTGGTTAGCACTCTCGCTTCTCAGAATGGGCCTTTCTGAGTGGAGTTTGCATGTTCTCCCCGTGTCTACTCCAGTTTCCTCCGGGTGCTCCAGCTTCCCCTATACCACCAAAAATCATGTGGTATTTATATGTGCCTGCTGTACTGGCTACCTCGCTCTCTGTGTGGAGTGGGAGACAAATTCCCACAATTGTAAAGCTTGTTGTGACTTGTGACAATTGTGACTCTGGTCTATGAAAGGCGCATTACATTACTTTCGTACTTAGTTGATTGCAATCTCCACAGTGGGCTTTGACTTATCTAAGATGCACAGTTTGTTTCAGTGACTGTTCAGTGAGACTCCTTAAGTATAGGTAAAGCATTTACCATCGTACTCATTTCATTTTGTATTAAGGTCTGGATTTGCTCCATTGAGCTCCGTTAACAGGTGGGAGGGGTTAACGCCTTCCTTGAAAGGGCAGCTCCAGTTTTGGTCTCGTGACATTTAACAGTTTGAAAATGTTTTAACTGCCACTTTGGTCATTTTTGTATCTACAAAATATCAAGAAAAATGAGAAGAAAATAAAAGATAAGATAAGTTAGACTCACATTATTTGCCATGTGTAGTATAAAAACCACACTGGAATACATTTGCAAAAAAGGAACTCTTTGTGCACCAACAGAATAAGGAGAACAATACAATGTACTATAAAATAAAATACACATACGCTGAACATGAATGAAAGACAGCTGGCACCGAACGACAAAAAGAGATACAAGGGGTGAAAACCACAATTAAAGTGCTTTGGTCAGACACCTAACTTGCTTAGGTGGAAAGAAGCAGTTAGCATAGCTAGATGTCTTGCATCTCAGCGACCGATATCTTCTGCCCGAGGGAAGAAGCTGGAACATGGCTTTACCAGGGTGACCAGAAGAGTCATTGATGATTTTAAGAGCTTGGTTTAAAAGTCTGGATACACTCAGGACATGTGCAAACAGGAAAGAGGGAACTTGGATTTAATCTAAGGGGCGACTCAGATATGCAGGGCTACTTCAGTGTTTCCATTTCTGCGACCTGTGATTAGTTGGATGATTCAGCTCGAGGTACACTGAACAAATGTTGTTGGTTTCAGACTCCTCTGCTTTCACTGGTGTCAGTAGAGGGTCAGACTGGTCAGGCTTTAGTGTGACTATGCCCCTACATTCTGCCCAGTCCAGTGGCTGACGGGCTTTCATATGTGAGCCACAATGGTCCTCTGTCAGTGTACAATGTGTTGGCTAAGTGAAGACAGCTGTGTGTCTGTGAATGTCCCTGTGTCTCTCTACATGTGTAAGGGGTCCTGTCGCCCTCAGCAGAATCAGAGGTGGTGAAAAGCAAGCAGTGGATTGTGAACGCTCTCCTCTGACTGACAGCTCATGTCTGTTCACTGCCGCATTAGCACCTTGAGTCAGCGCTGATGTGCTGCTCTCTGCCTCAGACAGGACTGATGACAGGTTGCCTGCAGCAGAGCATGTCTGCACACATTCTACAAATGCGACACACAAATGCCTATTGTTAGTTAGACTGTTCATTTGCTCTATTCTGTGAGCTGTCATTGTATTTTTCAATGTTTAAAATGTGAATGTTTAAAGTGAATGAGATGCATAAGCCTGAAACTAAACAATATGTCAAAAGACAAAATATGTTCTGATTTACACAAACTCAAAGGGCTAACGATTTCTAATGATTCCTACCTGTAAGAACATATTTGTAGCAACTCTGCCGACAGGTGTTTGGATTGTGCAAAAGCAACATTGAAATATGGGATGTGATTGGAGGAAGATCCCACCAAGATTTTGAGATGATCCGTGGTATTGGCAGGCTATGTGAATGTTAATATTTATGAATCCTTTGATTTGATCATGACGTGTATGTATCCCCTCCTACCATATTCCTTGTGGTACAGTGCAAATTGTAGGCCTTCTTGGCTTTGGGTAGAGCGTTTGTGTGGGCAAACATATGCAGTGGACATGACACCATTTGTATAGCCACTCTTCACAACTGGTCAGGGACAGGTGTGTGTCGAGGCGGATGAGTGATGTTACCAGCAGGATCTGTGGCCAGGGGTCACACTCGTAAATCAGAAGCACTAATCTCCATCGCATTGGAGCTGGTGCCAGGGATGTTAGGGTGGTTATCAGGTGGAAAGAGTAATGTTTCTGTGAACTCCTGGTTGATTAACATTCTTATGGTCCAAGCGGCATCGTGCACATCTTGGTGCTGTGAGTTATATAAGATAGGGGCACCACAGAATTCCTCATACAGGTGGGGGCCCCTTTGACAAGAGTGTGGATAAAGAGACGAGCTGTTGCAGCTATAATGGATTGGTAATATGTAATATTACAACTCTTTGAAGTTTCATTCTCGCACAAGCTGTGGTTACAAAAGAAGAGGATTAGTTGATGGTCGTGATGGCAGCCGTCTGCCGTGTGCAGTGATTTGTGCACTTGTCTGGTCAGATCATGTTTGGAGGGTTTCTCCTACTTGTGTAAATCATCCACAGGCCTCCTCCTTAAAATGGAGCAACATAACATTCAGGATTGACATTTTCTCTTCTATACCTCAGTTTTGTCCAACCCCCTTTTTGTATATGTATGTGTGGCCTGCTAAATAATAAGTAATGCATTTGGTAAACTCGCAAAAGATAGATGAAATCCAACCAAGTTTCCAATTTTGTGCAATCCTGACTTCAGACAAACAAACGTACTCACAAACACACACACATGCAGACTAGACAAGAACTAAAAGATTAAATGCTGCTGCAATTATCTAACCCTAAACTTAGTAGTCAATTTAGTAATCATTAATCCCATTTGAATAATGATCTTCTCTCATATAGGTACAGTCTGAGTTGTGGCTCCTCTCGATCTGAAAGATGGTGGGTGATATCTGTTGTGACATCGTGCCTGCGCCGTACGGCCTTAAGCTGCGATACTTTATTCTTAACTACCAAAGTTGACTGCTTCACTGCTGTTTTCTTTTTCATGCTTTAGACTTTATTTGCCTCTGTCTTTTCCTTTGAAAGATATAGTTTTGACATGCTCAGCTGGAAGTGCCCTTCCCCTCAGCTGAAAGCTCTCCTGCCTCTGTGTCGTGGGGCTCCGGTACAGCCTGGAGAAGAAAGACCCTCAGTGTGCAGGAGGCTCAGAGGAGGTGGGCCGCTCAGCTGACAGGACGGGTGGAGGGAGGAGACGGAGCAACCTGGGTGTTCCATGAGAGCGGACCTCAGCACTGTTTTGCTTTCTAATTCCCCTCAGCACTAAACAGCAGGGGGGACAAGAGGAGAGAGGGATGATGAGGGTAAGAGAATCATGTTTTCACACCAAAGTGCTGAGGCGAGTGGGCCGTGGGAGCCCCCCAGTGTTACTGATACTCATGTAAAAGAAGCACATGAATATCAATGCTGAAAGAAGTCATGGCCTTTATCAAGTTAATATATTTGTAATTCAGGCCTTAGGTATAATAAGTTATACTTCCCTTCGGTCACAAATGCGTTCATACATCTATGTCAAAGCATGTACATTAATTGACATAAGCTACTTGTTTTTCTAGAAAAAAAAATGTATGACCAAATAAACAAAATTACTACCACTAAATTAGTTATCGGTCATTAAGTGATTTTGATACATCACAAGTGTAGTTAAGCTATATTAATCAGCCTTGTAATTCAGCATTTATTCAGTTAATGTTAAATCCTTTACTGAATATTCAACTGTAGTTTATATACTGTATCTATTTTCCGTAGATACATTTATGCAATACACATTTACCCAGGGCTTAAAACATCAACGATATCTGGAACTGATTCACAGGGAGAGCTCAAGTTCTGTCCCTCAGTGTGACCTCTCCCACTGCGACGGCCACACCAGCGAGCGCCCCATCATCTGGATCTGTTTGCCCATCCTCGTTCCCAAGGCCACAGGAAATAGCTGCAGCGTACAGGCCCTGGGGGTGGAACTGACAGGTGCACCCCTATATATTTCAGCTTCCTTATTACCGCCACATTTGTTAAAATAGGGCCAGATGTGCTTACCTCTTGTTTCTATCCTTTGTGACTTGGAGATATACGAATCCTGATATCTTGTACCAAACCAAAGAATGTTAAATGTCATCTTGAGCTGCCTCTTCTATAATTGAGGTTCATTTGATTTAGCTGCCGTTGTAGCGTGTATATTTGCCATCTTGTTCTCGTATTACCGTGCTCGGCCTTAAGTGAATCATCAAATGGTAGAAAGAGTTGTAGAAAGGCAGTTAAATGGCACAGCAGGTCACCTCAGAGGAGCAGGGGTGGGAGGTCAACTGTTGCCATAATCCCAAACTCCAGGTTGAGCCCATAAATAAGAGAAGAGCAGCTGGAAGGAAGAAGAGGTGACAGCTCCGAGGGGAGGGCGCGTATTTCACCTGTGCAGCAACAGCAACGTCGCTTTATAGCGGTTGTTTATTTTGGCACATTCTTAAAGGGACATTACGTAAGATTGCCAGAATCTTCCTGCCTGTAATACATGGTGTGTATCACAGCAGATTATCCGAAGCAAACCATCTGCTGGGGTTTAGCTGTTACAGTACAAACTCTGTGTTTTATGTTTGGCTACTTATTTTTGTATCTAGAAAGTAAGTAATTTTTATTAATATAGCGCTTTTCACAGCGATGAAGCAGGTCATCTACAGAAGGCACAGGCCAGACCTATTGTGCATGTTTTTAGTGGTATATGGGAAACCGGAGCACCCTGCGGAAACCTACGTAGACACCTCCCAGAAAGGCCCCGTTCCGACTGGTATTTGAACCCGGGAATTTTGGACGGAAAGATCCAACTAAAGCCCTCAGACCAACTAAATTAAACAAACATAAATGTTATGGAAATGGTCCATTGTATTTTTGTAATTAAGAATAACTCTTTTTTTGAAGCCAGTTATCTGGAGACACTTAGAGAAGATACTTAGAGATGTCATTTAAAAATCTAGATTTTTAATACATATATAAACTTTGCAGTTTTAATTTTCCCTCCACTTCTGAAATGAAGTCTGCTGATAAAAGCTGCACAAGACTTGAATCCACAGTGTTGAAAGAACTATAATGATGGATTTCATGTCATTGATTTCTGAAGGAGATGCAACTGCAGAGATTTGTTCATTTCATGTGTGAGGAATTTATTTTTTCTCTAGAATTTGCTTTGGGACAACACATGATAAGGAGAAATTCTTGAGTGCGTTTTCATTGATAAACTTGTTTTGATTGGCACAAACATCCAGCTGCAGACAGATGGAGAGCTGGAGGATATCAGCAGCAGCAGGGTGACTGTTTCCTGTATAGACAGGAAGTTGCTGCTTTTATGAGGGAATTGCATTGATTTCCTAGAAGGCCAGGTCCTGGAGTCCAGCGAAACGGCACCTTCCTGTTGAGGAAAACAACATCAGTTCCGACTCTCAATAAGAAACAGTAACGACTGGCGTGACATTGAGACAAGTTGTTTAGTGTTTTGAAACATCGCTTTAGTATCAACAATATTTAATTCACTTTTATTTCAAGAAGTCACTATTACGTGGGTAAAAGGGGAACCCAAAATGCAGGACTGAAAATCAAATGTAATTTAACGTGGTAGAGACAATGGACGGACAACAAGTGGGGAAAAGTACAGGGTATAAACACATATATATATAGATATATTGTGGACTGGTATTGAAGCATTTTCAGCATCTACTGTACAGCTTGTTAAGAAACATAGCTACTACTTATTGTGTATTTTGTAATTTTGTGTGCTCCCTGTGTGCTCTTACTACTGTCCTGCTGCATGTGCGCATACAACATCAAATTTTCCCCACTGTGGGACGAATAAAGGAACTCATCTTATCTTAGGTGAATCAGATTAGGGCGGGGCAACAATCAACAGGACAGGAAGAAAAGTCAAACTACAAGAGAGCAAATAGCAAAATAAAACCAGGTCAAAATGGTCAGAAAGTCCACACCATGACAACCACAGAATGAAATGGCTGAAAACTGGTTAACACAGACCAGTTTTGTAAATGTATGTGAACAATTTATGATGAGAAATGTACTGAATGTGTTGTTTAAATGTATAATCTTAATGTATGGACATAAGTAGATGTATTGTGCATGTGTGATGCTGTGAGTGAGGCGTGGTTTTGCAGGTATAAGGCTAAATGTGTGTGCGAGTATATATCAGAGAGAGTGTGTTGTATTGTGATGGTATTTCTCTTAGATTTTACATTACTGTATCCATATATTTTTGTAACCAGGGACTGCAGATGGTATAATCTGGTGCTGAATATAATCTGTTTTTGAGTTTAAGGTCTCTGTACATTGTCCCTTCAAATATAGACTAAACTAAGTAAATAAGTTCCATATTAGAATAGACTATCCAGATTAAGACATCTGTGTTGTATACACGTTTTTGGAGAAAGGCCTTAGTGTTAAGTTACTACATTTGATATTCATTTGGAAAAGCTTTGACCACAAGAGAGAATTCCACTATACTAGGACGTCCTGTTCTTCTCCGTCCGCTCTCCCCGGGCTCTCTCCATCCTTCACTCACACAGATAGTAAACATGTCCCTTCATTCTGGAATATTCCCAAAGGCCCTGAAAACTGCAGTCATCAGGCCCCTGCTAAAAAAGAGCAGTCTCGATGCTACGGTACTTAACAACTATCGTCCCATCTCAAATCTGCCATTTATGGGGAAAGTCCTTGAAAAAGTTGTCTACCTACAGCTTACTAGATTTCTTATAATCAACAACTCATTTGATATGTTTCAGTCCGGCTTTAGACCCCACCACAGCACTGAGACTGCTCTCGTCAAGGTTACAAACGATATCCGGCTGAACACTGACGCAGGCAAAGTCTCAATCTTAATCTTGTTAGATCTAAGTGCTGCCTTTGACACCGTCGACCATGAGATCCTCTTACAGAGATTAGAGGACTGGGTTGGAGTCGCTGGCACCGCCCTAAGTTGGTTTAGGTCTTACCTTGAGGACAGGAAGTACTTTGTGGAGATTGGAAACTGTGTCTCAGATCATATGGCCCTGACCTGTGGAGTCCCACAGGGGTCGATCCTGGGACCTCTTCTGTTCAATCTCTACATGCTGCCGTTAGGTCAGTTAATACGCAGAAACAAAGTTTCCTATCATAACTATGCAGACGACACTCAGATCTATGTCTCACTGACTGCAGGAGAACATGGACCAGTGGACTCACTCCTTCACTGTATCCAACAGATCAGTGAGTGGATGCAAAACAACTTCCTTCAGCTAAACGCAGACAAAACTGAAATGATTGTCTTTGGTCCCCAGAAACAAAGAGAGAGCGTCATCTGTCACCTACAGTCTCTCTCCCTAAAACCTTCAAACAAGGTCAGAAATCTAGGGGTAATACTGGACTCAGACTTAAATTTTAATAGCCACATCAAATCAGTAACATCAGCAGCTTTTTACCATCTAAAAAACATTGCCAGGATCAAAAACATAGTGTCTAAAGCAGACTTGGAGATTCTTATCCATGCATTTGTCTCCAGTAGGTTAGACTACTGCAATGGCCTGCTCACAGGTCTGTCCAAACAGGCTGTAAAACAGCTGCAGTACATTCAAAATGCAGCAGCTCGAGTCCTGACTAGAACCAGGAAGTACGACCATATTAGTCCGGTCCTCAGGTCTCTGCACTGGCTTCCTGTGGCTCAGAGAATAGACTTTAAAACAGCTCTGCTTGTGTACAAGTCTCTCCATGGCCTCGCACCAAAATATATTAGTGACATGTTAGTCCCATATGAACCAGCCCGGACTCTGAGGAGCACAGGGACTGGACTCCTGTTAGTGCCCAGAGTCAGAACTAAACATGGGGAGGCTGCTTTTCAGATTCATGCTGCTAAAATCTGGAACAGTCTTCCTGGAGATGTGAGACAGGCCTCCTCTCTGACAATGTTTAAAACCAGGTTAAAGACAGTTCTGTTTAGCTGTGCATACAACTGAGGGATTTTATATTTGTATCTTTCTTTTTAATGTTCTGTGATTATTTATGATTTTAATGCTTTCTTGTTTTGTTCAGCACTTTGAATTGCCTTGTGTATGAATTGTGCTATATAAATAAACTTGCCTTGCCTTGCCTTGCCTTGCCTTCCTTTTGTGCCTTTTCCTGACTATTCTTTCTCCATACACCCTTGCTCTATTTCTTCACACAACCTCACTCACTCCTCCTTCTCCACCTTCTTATCAGAGCATATCTCTCCTCTTTCCTCCCTT